CTCTCTCTCCTTTGCCTCTCTCCTCTTCAACTCTCTTCCGCCATAAAAAACAGCGTATATAAAGGGAATCACCTGGAAGAACACTGAAACAGCTCAGTATCAGGTTGTTCCTCGACCTGATAAAGTGAACTGCAATGTTCACGAAATGTTGGCATTCTAAGAATGGATTTGGACATGGAGATAACCCGTGCAACGCCATAATTTCTGTATAGAAAGTGTCCATGAAAGTGCCTCAAGAGTATTGTTATTATATTCATTTTAGAATATCAAATACTTATATCGGGCTTGTAAGTTTGCCGAGTGGTGTTTTGATTATGGATTACATCAAACTCGATCTCCTGATAGACCTTTTTCTTTATTCGAAGGTAAATTGAATTGGAAAAAACTAATTCGAAAATACATATAATATTTCAAGCATGTTTTTACATAATGTTATGTATTTATTTTTTATATTTTCAGGTCTTGCTGGTGTTATTTATTTTTTATTGGATATGCAACAACCACATTTAGCTAAATTTCCAATGTATGATATTTAAATAAAAATATAAATATTTAAACAATATGAATTGTACTTTAAACAATAAGAACTGTACATTTGAAAATTCAACAATAAAAAATATAAATAATGACCATAACGGTCAAAACTAGTTCTTTAATGCTTAAATAATTCAATCTAAATTACTATGGGTGCTTTCCATTTGATGACACAAGTCGACACAAGTTGGCACAAGTGTCGTCTTTCCTTGTTGACATTCAGAGAGTGACAAAGATAGAACGGGTGGCACCCAGTTGGATACGGCCTCAATTGGACACAAGCCACTCACAGCGCTTGAGACTATAAAGCTTCTAGGCACTGGTCGCTGTGAGTGTCCAATCGGGATCACCCCGTGTAGATAGAGCGGACTAAATTGAGTCGAAAAGTCCTCTATTATTTTGCAATTTTCGTAATAGTTAACAAGATATTAATTACTAAAAATTGCCAAATATTGGTATTGAATAATTTTTTACTCAAATACTATCAATTTTATAGAAAAATTGCAAGAGACAAACTCAATCTAACTTTAATCTAACTCCATCCAAAACGGATCTCAACCGTGCACAACGTACAGACTTTTTTAATTCCAAATTCGATAATAGTGGTGACATTTTTTATTCAGTTATATTATACAGTTATATTTACATTATATTATATAATATATATCATTCTGTCTTACTCAAACGCATACATCTGTTTTTATCTAACATATGCCAACAACATCTATCGCAAGACCGCTCAACTACTGCTACACGGAATTTCGGCTCTGTTGACAGTCCCAGTCTTCGCAAAGCACCTGTATACACGTATATACCGAGCGCGCTCGGTGAACTCTTGCATCTGATTGGCATATTCCATTAGATCGAAAAATATAGACCAAACAGATACAAGAGCTCAATGAGCGGTCGTGTTTCTGGATGCACCTATTGTGACCTCAGCTGCACGCTTATTTTCAAGATATGGACTCTAAGGCTGGAGTCCCATGAGGTGTATTTGCCGCGTATCGCGTAACCGCGTAACCAATCAATAATCAGTAAAACGCGAAACCACAACAGCGGATCGCTTCTGATTGGTTACGCGGTTACGCGATACGCGGTAAATACACCTCATAGGACTCCAGCCTAAAACTCTAATATCAAGCAAATGTATATCTGAGGTTACAGCTGTACGAGCCAAAAGTAATAGCGTTTTCGATTGGGCAAAAGTTAGTGCGCACCAGTGCGCACTCAGTTCACACCAACACTGGACGAGTTCCATGGGTTGCACTGAATAGTGCAAGTTCAAAAGAATACGCCAAGATTTTCAGTGCTAAAACTGAAACTCATTTTTGTTCACTTTGAAGCAATGTTCAACAAAATGTTACAAAACTACAGTAAAAGATATTAAGAGTAGGGACAAGACCCCGTTTTCAATTCAACTGCGCAGATTTGCTTGTCCCTATGTATATCCTTAACTGTGATAAAACGTGCACTGAACTGGTGAACCGTCAAAATATCTCGTGCCACTTAGTGCGCACTGAGTGCGCACTACGCGAGTGTTGTGCGATCAAATGAACACGTGACACTAGCCAAGTGCGCATTGGCACTGCCAATCGAACACGCTCTTGACACTGAGTGCAGCCAGTGCACCCCAATCGAAAACGCTAT